GGATAAAAATCCAAACCCCCTAATGATACAAGTGAGGGCTCCGGTAGATCAGCATGTACAGAAACGTGAAATTAATCCAGCTTCCTTTTTGAAAGGAGATGTACGTTTTACACCTCGAGAGACCCTGCATGTGTTTTTAAATGTCCGTGGAAGCGTGGAGGGAATCTTTTGAAGCCAGGTGTTTCATTTGTGCTCAGTTTAAATGGAAGCACAGACCTTGTAATGCCCACAACCTCCTCGCCCTCACAGCACACTGGCCACCTCCGACGTCAGCAGGCGGAAGTGGCTGATCCCGGGGGCGGAGTATTCGATCTTCACCGGCCAGCCCCTGGATGTGCCCGACAGGACCTCAGCGAGCAAGCTGGAGGAAACAGGCATTCCTGGGTGAGATGACTGTCAAAGGTCGTGTTTAGGGACTGCTGTGTTTTCCTAGAGCCATCTCCTTGTCTCCTTAATGTCTCAATTTTAAGCACCTGATTTTTATTTTACTTTGAGAGACTAGTGCTCTCTGGGCCGTTCACTTTCGTAGGCTGTGCAGAGCTTCCCCTCTTGTGCTCCTGGCACATGGGAGAGAGAGATCTTGTCTCTTCCCTTTTTATTGGGCGCTAACCCCCTCTTGGTCTCATCTAAACTCACTCAACTCCCAAAGGCCCCACCTCCAAATAGCATCATGCCAAGGACTGAGGCTTCAATATGAATTTGGGGTGGGGAGGGCACCATATTCAGTCCATAGCACTGTGTGTCTTACAATTGTTATTTAAGGTACCATTCTCCTCCGGAAAAGGATTCCTCGCCTGGAAGTTCACCAACGAACTTACTGATAAAAAAACAAAGAGAGACTTCAGACACACCAATCATGAGAGCTTTAAAAGAACTTGAGGAAGAAAAAATATTTAAAAATTGGGGCACACAGACAGAGAGAGAGGACACTTCAAATAGTAAGTATTTTATTTCTTATTTAATACTAGAGGCCTGGTGCACAAATTTGTGCATGGGTGGGATCCCTTGGCCTGGCTGGTGATTGGGGCCAATCGGGGCCGTATCACCCAGTCCTGATCGGGCCCAGCTGGCCAAGGGGAGGGACCACGGGAGGTTGGCCAGCTGCAGGAGGTTGGCTGGTGGTCAGTGCATCATCATAGTGACCGGTCGAGCGATCAACCGGTCGTAATGGTTGCTTAGGCTTTTATATATAGAGATAGATTATAGAGATACAGGTTTTTTCTTTTCCCCTGTAACTATATTACTTTCTCTTTAAAATGGAATTCCCCCAGTGATGAAATAAAAGGCTAGTTTAGTTTATTGCTGCTCCAGCCTCATTTCATAGATAATCAAATCCCTAGTGAATAATTTATCACAGTCATGGCATAACATGTACCTTTTGTAAAAGCAGATTATGTGTTAATTCTGATTATTAAAGATTTATGTGGCATTCTCAACGATATGTGGAAAATTTCTGCATCAGTTTGTCTTACTTGCACACGTCAGAAAGCTGTGACAGACGCCTGGTGTTCCTAGTGAGCGGGGCATCCTGCTCTGCCTTTCTAGCTCCCAAGCACCCGGCAGAGGGGCAGGAGCATCTTCATGCTGGTTTTCATGGGTCCAGGTACTTGCAGCTCCTCTCACACTTCCTCTCTGCTCACGTGGTCAGGCCTGGTAATCACATCATTGACATCTTTAGTGTAGCATCCAAAACGGTATCTCCTAGTAAATAAATTAGTGACCTGCTTTCTAAAAATAACCTCTTGAAAAATCACCTTGAATTGTAAACAGGGAACCGGAATGAAGGCATTATAAACTCCCACATTTTTTTTCATCAGGCATCTTTATCTATAATGAGTGCTTTTGCAAATAATCATTGTAACCTACACAGTGAGAAGAATTGCTTGCTGGTGAACATCTGTTAATAAAGGCAGAGGACTGAAGCTGGGTGTGTCTTGCTGACTTTTTTTACGCTTGTCTCAGAATTAGTGAATCCTCGGCAAACTGAAGCGACTGTCGGTGCGAGTCGGTCCCCAGAGAAGTGTGCCCAGCAGAGACACAGGAGGCTGAACTGTGCGCAGAGGTCGTCCTCCCTGCCGCCTTCCAGCCGCAAGCCCAGCACTCCAAGTAAGAGCTGGGGTCACACCTCTGGGCTCGGGTGCCACTCGAGCCGCACACTCTGACACACTCCCCGTCTCCTTTACACTCTCCCTTGCGCCGGAGATGCTCTGAATACAGGCCCCTAAATATGACCTATGACCTTTTCCAAGAATAACATATCTGACTGCACAGATGCTCGGACTGTAACTGAGAAAATAATAAGTTTATTGCATGAGATTGTTGGTGTGTCCAGCAAATTTTTGCAACTAATACCACTGCACAGTTTTTGAGAAAGTTGATAAATATCTAATTAAACATTAGCTCAAACATGAATGGAAGCCAGCCTGCAGAGCGATGCTTCTTTGCATGCATTTACCTAAGGTTACTCACACTAGTCACCTTTCTCTTCAGCCAATGGCAGGGATGGTTTTCAGGTCTGAACACTGGATTTCCGTGTCCTCAGTTTTCACTTTCATAACAGCTGAGGAGCGTCCTGTATGACTATGTGATAGGGAAGTCCACCGGGGCTCTGGCGTTTCCATCTTATTTACAGTCCACTTCTAAAATCCTGAAAAACCAGTTCTGAGCCCGTGCCACAGCTACCGCCTGCTGTATAAAATGTTGGCTGTGGTCCCCTCTTGGTGTCAGGGTTAGGAATTATTTTATTTTTATTCTTCGTACTCTTATTTGTCTTTCAAAAAGCTTTCAATGAAATTGTATTTCTTTGAAGAATATGTTCTGCCAATATAACACATGTATTATAGAGAAGGAAAAGAATATTTCCTCTTCGTTTTCTTCTATAGCGAAAAGAGAGATTATGTTAACACCAGTGACTGTGGCTTATAGTCCAAAGCGGTCCCCTAAAGAAAATTTGTCCCCAGGATTTAGTCATCTGCTTAGCAAAACCGAAAGCAGTCCAATTCGGTAAGTTCTCTAAAATTGTAGCATAAAATATGTATATTATTAATTTTTTTAAAAAATGTCAACTTATGCCTCTAGCTATCATTAATTTTTCAGTTAATGGGAACTCTCTGGCTTTAAACCATATCAATGAATGTCATACTAAACGTTAAAAATACTATAATACATGAAAACAGTTTGTAACGGTGTGACGGGCTGCTCCTAAGTCCAGCACCGTCTCAGAGCCCCTTCCTCCCGGCTTTGGCTGTAGGATGACACTTCTTTGTTTTCCTGAAAAGGCTTATGGTACAAGGTCGTGGGCTGTGCGGTGTGGCCGTGGCCCTGAGCGTCAGTTTACCTGGGCTCCTGAGAAGTGGCCTCACTGACGTGGTCAGCAGCGTGCGCTCCGGGGCGGCCCTGGCTCCTGCTGAGCCCGCCCCAGGGGCTCCTGGGGAAACCCCTCGAGCGCAGGGCGTTTCCTCTTCTGTAGAACAGGGGTAACAGCTGCCCTGCTGGTCCCGTCAGGTGGTTAGGAAGGCGGACAGGAGACCACGGGCAATGCTGCGAGTCTGATTTGTATCAGAAAACAAACGATTTCAGTTTTGAAAAATTATATGACCAGTTTTCTTTCTAAAAATATGTCAGTGTGTGAGTTACCTGGATGCCAGCTCGTCTCTCTAGTGGCGATAGGGAAAATCAGTTGACAGTGTTTTCTCACAAGTAACTTGCTTCATTCAATAGATTTGATATACTTTTGGATGATTTAGATACTGTTCCCGTGTCTACGTTACAACGTACCAATCCAAGAAAACAACTCCAGTTTCTTCCTCTAGATGACGCGGAAGGTATCTTTTCCTACAAAATTCTTAGCTTTGGTTTTAGTCATTCGTTTTGTGAGTTTCTGGTATCTCTCCAAGGTTCTATATATTATAATATACAGCAGTGAAGTCCTTGGTAAATGAGCATTCCGGGCGCTCCCCCGGGTCAGTGTGGGTATCCTCTGAGAAGCTGGGAAACGGAGGGACGGGCCTCTCTCCACTGAATAGTCTCTGGGTTTAAGGCAGCCTTGGCTTTGGGGAGTCTTTTTCTTTTTCTCATTTATATCTTAAGTTTGGAATAAAGGTATAAGATAGTGTAGATGAAGTCATGTGGGTAGGCCCCTGAGAGGTTAACCTTTAGTGTTGCTATACATGTGCTGTTTAGTTTTAAACAACTTCTTAAGTGCCCTGGACGTTAGTTTAGTTTTACAGAGAGTCTCCGGAGTCGTTTAGGGAGGACTGTCCCACCGAGGCAGACTTTCTAGGTTCTGTGGAGCAGCAGCTCTGAGGAACTGTGGTGGAGGCTTTGCCTTCATTGCTGTTTGGTCCCGTAGCAGCTCTTTCCAGAAAGTGAAGGGGGGAACTTATGTAGTGTGTATACGAGCTATTCGAAACTTGATAAGAAATTAAAGGCATTTATTTTCTCTCTAACAGAAAAAAAATATTCAGAAAAAGCCACCGACACCCATGCAAGTCATAGCTCTGCCCCTGAACTGCCGCCGAGTGGAGCGAAGGGCGCCGCGGGGAGCGCCGTGGGGACGGGCGAGTCGGGCAGTGCACAGTGTCCGGCCGCCGGAGCTCGTGCCCACGACTTTGAGTACACCGCGAAAATTAGGACCCTGGCGGAAACGGAACGGTTTTTTGATGAACTTACAAAAGAAAAAGACCAGGTAAAAGCAACAAAAAATTGTTTACTTCTTTTTCTGAACTTAATGCTTGTGGCTAAGGACTAGTCAGAGGAGTCAGTGAGTGACACCCACCCCAGGAAGTTGCTGTGAATTTCACACCAAAGCCACACATGTGAGCCGAGCTGGTGCTGCACATCATGACGGGGATTAAGGGAAGAGACGGACAAGGAAATAGGAGACTGAGGTCTTGCCTTTAGCTCTGTGATAAACCCCGCCAGCAATGCGAGTTCTCCTGTCGTTATTTAAGCCTTTTTGTGTTGACAGATTGAGGCTGCCCTCAGTCGGATGCCTTCGATGGGAGGACGAGTCACTTTGCAGACGAGATTAAATCAGGTGAGATGTCTCAGCTCCAGTCTGCTTCCGAGGCTGACCGCCCTATTTACCAGATGGTTTTAAATCTTGCTTTTAGGCACGTGGACACAGGCGGTCAGAACTCAGCCTCTGCAGGAAGCGTTTGGTGATCATAACTATTTCATAACTGCATGATTGCTTTCAGTATTAAAAACTGATTTTACCTTTGCATTTCAAGAAAAACGCACACTTATGTTTTTGAGAAGCGAACGTGGGAGCACATGGCCTAGCTGTAGAGGAAGGTGTGGTTCCATCACTGAGCAGGAGGTGGGGCAGGCGCGTGGCCAAGAATGAAAGTGCATGAAGCCACAGGACAGTTAAACTATTCTTGTTGTAACATCTAAGCATAACGGCCCCTGTGTGTCTTATGGAGCTGCCTGTCGGCTTCTCCGGGCCTTGGCTTCAGGGGAAGTTCATCGCCAGATTGCACTGCGACACCAGAAGGAAAATCGGACACAGACAGTCTCGGGCTCTTTCCAGGGCCTGGAGCCCTAACTTCTCCTTTTATCTGACTTTTAAGTCTTTGTATTGGTTTTGCTTTTCTGAAAGTTCTTATTTAATAATTTGTAAGACACAACACACAAAACTCTTAATATAGTTTACTGGGAAGGCAGGAGAAATGTTGGTGCTCCGATCCTAAATCTGTCTGAAACATTTGCCTAATATATACATTTTCGTGAGCTCTTAAAGTAAGACTCAAAGGGCTCTAGTTTCTGTTCATATACTGGGTGGTATGCGGAGCAGCTTATTCTTCTATTATTATTATTATTATTATTATTATTGTAATTTTCCATTTGCCCACCTGTATGTCAAAGCTCTTTCAGTTCCGTGAAGCCAAATGGCAGCAGAAAGGGCCTGAGGATGCTTGTATATGATTCATAAGTGAAAAAGTTAAATTGGGCAACAAAATAAAATATGTGAAAAGTAGTCAGCCTCAGCAATGAATAAAAGAAAACCACACATTTAACAAAAGCATCAACATTGGCAGGTATTTTTTAAAAACAGTAACTGGGTGGGGGCAAGCGCGTCAGCACACCCTGCAGGTGGAGCGGAAGGCGTCACGCTCCCCCGAGTGCGGCTGACAGCTGTCCCAACTGGTCCGACTCTGCCTCCCTTTGGACCTGGCGCTTTTATGTCTGGGAATGGTTCCTCAGGCAATCCTCACAGATAGACGCAAGGAGATATATTTAAGAATATTTATTGCAGCCTTATTTGTGATAGCTAAAATTAGAAGCCACCTAAATTTCTACCAGAAGATCCTAGGTTAAATATGGTACATCTGATGGAATGTTGCACTTAATTTAAAACAGGGTTGTAGAAAGATATAACAAGACAAGTTCGATTGAAAAACATTCGGAAGTAGAGAGATGAATTCTTTTTAAAATTTTCTTAAAGATGGGAGCACATCTGCAGGAAAACAGTAAAGAGAACAGTAGTCACTTATTGCTTTTTGCTCATCTGTCTGTTACCTCTGGGGGAGGGCGGTGCTTTCTCAGCTCGGCATGGTTGGTGAGGGCTCCCTCCCGCCCCTGTGTCACCGTGGCTGGAACCCCCACATCTGACCATACTGAGGAGACACGGGGCAGAAGTGACTTAGATGGTTGAAAAGTTGACTCACATTGTGCAGTTTAAAAGAAGTGACAAAAAAGTTAACAAAATAGTCGGTTTTATGTGTATATTGTTCTTTTGCCAAAAGGAAGGCCCATCTCGTGGTGACTGGAGCCAGTGAACTTGGCGTAGATTCTAATGACGTTCTCCCGTCTTTCCGCCTAGGAAGCCCTGGAGGACCGCCTGGAGCGGATTAACCGCGAGCTGGGCTCCGTGCGCATGACGCTGAAGAAGTTCCACGTCCTGCGCTCCTCCGCGCACCTCCGCCCCGTGTAGCCATTAAACCAGCCGCTTCGTTTGCACTGACGTGTGATTAGCACTCGGGGAGGCGGAGCGTTTTCTACTGTTTGTAGCCCTTCACGCCGTAGTTCTACAATCATGACACTTGCTCTTTTATACTTCTAACGGCCACATACTTCCAAGATATTTTTGTTATGCTCAGGAATCTTGTATATTTTACTATTTAAAAAGTGTTATTTTTAAATAGTATATGTCTCCAGTTTATATCAAGAATAAGGAAGTGTGACTGTGGGAGGCAGCTGGTCTCTAAACAAATAGTGTTCATCCTTTTACAGGTACCTTCTTCACACCCGTTTTGTAAATTTGTTCGACATCGTGAATATGATTTTTTAAAAATTTTTAAATGCTCCAGAACAGTTTTCATAATGGTAGGCTAATCCACGCTGAATGCAAAAAAAATTACAGCACATCCTGGATTTAGTAGTTCTGAGCTTTTAAAAGCGCTAATGCGATTCCTGTCTGACACATTTGTCTTAGAGTGAATATTAGATTAGTCATAATGGCAATATCGGCAATAATGGGACGCTGGAAAGCTTTCAAAACTGCATGGATAACTCACTCATTTTGTTTCCCTTAAACTCTATTATTTGTAAGGAAAGAAAATAGAAAGATGTAATTTTCTAATTTTGTCATATATATGCTTTTCAGAGAAAAACAGTTGGAGGGCTGTAGTCCCTGCCCATCATTCTGAATGTAACTTGTGTCCCGCCCTTGACCGTCAGTGATAGATAAGCTTTGATGAAGTTCAGGGACCACCCAGTGAGGCTGTACAGGGAGCCCCCTTTCCTCCATGCCGGGGTGCAGCTGCCAGTCATCCTGCAGAGATTTGACCCCACCCCCCCATCCCCGCCCCAGAAAAAGGACGCCCCTAGTGGCTGCTGTGAGGGTGCCAGGCTAGGTCAGAGCAGCTTTGGTGGCGGAAGGGAGTGTGTGGATGGCTCTAGCTCCCCAGGAGCAGCTCGTGGGCAGGAGCCCGGGCTCTGACCAGCAGCTCTGGCAGCTGTGCGTCTTGACGGCCGGTCAAGTCCAGGCTGCTCAGCTGCCTGCTTTTCAGTGGCCAGTCAGAACACCATGCCCACATGTTCACGCTCGGTTCCTGTCGATACACAGACTGACTCCAAGCTTTCACAGTCGAGTCCCCTTGAAAATGCTCAGGTATTAGACTTGGTTTACTTCCTAGCTGCTTCTCCGCCTCACGTGGCTCTTGGTAGCAATTAGTTATAAAGCACCAAGCCAGCCGTCCCTCCATTAGGGTGTGTGGCTGGCTCCGGGCAAGGATCTCAAGTTCCCTCTGAGCGCCACTCCTGCACCAGGTAAAGACCAGCTACTCAGAATCACTCAGCAACAGAATCAAGTGCCTTTTGAAAAGCAAATCATTAGCTCTTAGGTGGGCTCGCCCCCTCCTATCCCTTCAGTAACTGTAGGACGGGGCAGCGGGGGCCCGAGCCTGGCAGACCTGGGCCACACCCGGTGCGCTCGCCTAGTGGTGGAATGAAACTTCCATTCCGGGAGATTTCTGTCAAGTGCCTGGTGCTTAGTGTGATTTCAGTAAATAGCACATTTCAGCTTCATCCGGAATGAAATAGGCCTTTCAAGTGGCTATTGGGTACTTTTTAAAATAGAAAAGTAGATTGTGTTCTAAGCATTTGACTTAAAAACTACCTTGGGTTGGTTGACATCTCCATGAGGTGGTCCAAGATGTTCTCTCCACCGCTTAGCCAAAAAAAAAGGTTCCATGGAGTTTGAATGAGCTTTCCTTTGGTACGTGGTTTTTTAAAATGACTTATAAAAAAACTTGATAAGCTGTTGAGTGTAAGAACAAAGAAGGCACTTTTTCTTTGGTGCCTTGGGGGTTATTTGATATAAATATAGGCTGTTCTAAAAAAAAAAAATAGCCAATGTAATGAAACTCCTGGTCCTTGGAGTGTTCCATAACTCGACATCTCAAGGTGATGGCCAGGAAGGCAGGGCCACTGCACGTCAGATGAATGAATGAAGATTCATTTATGCTCCCCTTTTTAAAGTAGAAAAGCCAGGTGCTTTGCTGAATGCTGTTTGAATTCTGAACTCTGCACTAATATACGTAGTAAAACTCAACATTTTAGATATTTCAAATATTTTTCATTAAATTTTAACATGCTGTGAGTCTTTAAGAAGCTTTAAAAAATAAATGTATACCCAGAGCTCTTTAGGGGTCAGAGGTAAATCCCGTGGAGGGGCTCTCACGGGGTCGTGGGATTCCCAGGGTCCGAAGGAACCGATTGTGATGCACAGATTTTGCAGGCGTTTGATAAAACATTAAACTGCACCGGTGTTCTTGGGCCCTGCGTTACCAAGCTCTTCCCTTCTGATTTGTGTTTTCATTTCAATAGACCCTCTCAGAGAGGAGGAATCAAGCCATAAGTTTGCACTGGCTGGACATCATGTACCGTGTCACCACTATGACTGCAGACTTCAAAGATAATTATGTTTTACAATTTCACTGTAACAGTGATGAATAATGAGGAGGACTCTCTTCACAGAGTGCCACTGACAGTTAGACAAAGCCAAGTGCTCATTGTAGCTGCTGTTAAATGTCCTCAAACATGGGAGGGATGAAAATTGTTAACTCCCGCGAGAGCAGGGACCATCTCTTCATTCTTGCAAACAGGCACTCAATAAATATTTGTGGAAATGAACTATCTGGAGATATTACTGTATTTATTCACATCAGCTAACTATGAGGTGTTTTTAAAATATTCATTGATTTCAGAGAGAAAGGGAGAGGAAGAGAAACATCAATGATGAGAGAATCATTGATTGGCTCCTCCTGCAACCCCGGCATGTGCCCTGACTGGGAATCGAACCCCAGCCTCCTGATTCATAGGTCGATACTCAACCGCTTAGCTACACCAGCTGAGCCCATGGTCTGGTTTTTGATGGTGTTAAGTTCTCTATGAGTTACTGCCAGTGAGAGCAGTCATGGCAGGGTCAGGGTGATACCTGTCCAGATGCTCAGTTCTGACTGGCCTCACTCAGACCGGTGTGCACTCCGGAAACTCTTCACTGGGCCTTAGGCCGCTCTCGGTAGCCGGAAGGAGCTGAGGGTTTAGGGTTTGTTGGGACGCCTTCGCTTGTCTCAGGTCATCTTCACACCAGAGTTTGGGGCCGAGTTGTGTCACAGTGGCTTTCCTGGCCCGTTCAGTCCCAATTCCAATTCAGTCACCGGCGGATGAAGAGCCTTGGTGGTTGTGCCCTGCCCGCCTTCATCTGAACTCACCTTGGCCTGCTTGAACTCTGCCCCAATAGGGACAGATGTCATCGTCAGACACATGCGAACCTGTGAAGGCTTTTTGTGAGTTTATTTGAGCCAAAACTGTCAACAACTGCTGAGAAGCAAACTCTCAGCGGATTGAGATCATGCTCCGGAGAATGGCAGTTTGCACCTTGTTTTACACTTTACAATCAAAAGAGGAGGCAAATGTGGGCTACGTGAAATCCATGGAGATCGATTCGGGAGGAGGGAGAAAGCAAAACGGGAAACCTCTGGGATTGGATAGAAAGTAAAGTGACAGACCCTGCTTTTACTAGGTGGGTGCAGGATAGTTAACAGTCAACAATGAGCTCAATGACAATGAGGGGCTTTGGAGTCTCCCTAGAGCGTTGCCTGTGTTTTGAGGGGTCCAGGAAAAGGAAAATTACTTTGACATTCCAACGATACATTACCGTAGATGCAAAAAGACAACAGACAGGCTCAGATAAGGTAAAGATTGACCATCAGGGAAGATACCAGCCTAGGACACGACTACCCACCATAAACTGCTTTTCGTTAAAAAAGTGGCTGTGTCAACCTATGAACCAGGAGGTCACTGTTCAATTCCCTGCCAGGGCACGTGCCTGGGATGCGGGCCAATCCCCAGTGTGAGTCGTGCAGGAGACAGCCAATCCATGATTCTCATCATTGATGTTTCTATCTCTCCTCCCCTTCCTCTCCGAAATCAATAAAAATACATATATATTTTTTAAAAGTTTTAATCTCACATCATCCTTTGTAGTTACTTTAGGTCTCAGTTTGCAAGGCCTCCAGCAGTTGGACCTCGGCTCTTGGCCACCAGGCCCCTCCCTGCCAATCCCCACACCATTTCACCCGTACCCTCTCCGGCGGTTTGTTTTCCAATTGAGGGTCCAACCAGGAGGGAACCTGGCGATGAAGCTGTTTCTGACCTCTCCCAGTTCCTTCTGGAGCTGGGGCTGAGCCTCCGGCTCCCCCCCCCCCCCCCCGCCCGCCACCACCCCCCCTCCCGCTGCTCCTGCATTTTTCACTTTTTGGTCTAGAACACACTCAATGCCATGTCTAAGTCTGGTCTGTGGCTGACAGCTGCACCCCACATCCAGGTTCTGGCTTCAGGCTAGCTCGCCC